GCCGGGGCCCATAGATGGGGGGCCCAAGATTATATAAGTATGTAGTGTATATATATATAATCTTGTACAGTATTTGGTATATATAATATATTAAATAAGCCTTTTGTTTTATTTGAAGACCCATGTTAATTGACAAAGAAAAAGCCTTGTACGGATCTCATCTGTACAACTAAAATATTAAACAAATGTCGGTAGAGTGAGAGAGTTAGAGAGAGAGGATCGAAGTGAAAAGTCAGTTATACCCTCAACCCATGTAGTATAGTGTAGAGTGAATATTTTGAGAGTATTTTGGTAAAAAAAAAGTCAGCTGAAGAATATGGTTGTCGGCTGAAGAAGAATTGAATCCTGCCCTGAAGACAATGAGCCCATATTTCTTGCTTGCCCATAGGCCCTTCAAATTACAGAGCCGACGTTGTTTTTAACGGCAAATGATAGGCTGCCACGGTGTTCCGTAAATATCGTTCAACACCCTCCAATCAATGAGCTTGAAAGTGACACGTAGTGCGCATGGAATTCAAAACTCCTATCATCAACTTACCACCACTTGTACCAATCAGGGTTGGCTCAAGTAGTAAGCAGTTTGATGTCGCTTAAGTAAGGTCTCGAGTTCGAGTCCTTGTGGATACAGAAAACCCTTGTTGGGAGACTCACCCACTATTGCCAGGTGTGCGACCAGGTCGACCAACGGATTAGTCGGGGCATAGCTCCAGATACCGTGGCTAGCTACCAAAAAAAAAAAAACTTACCACCACTTATTTAGGACTTGTTTGGAAACACTTATTGATAAGTCCATTTCAAGATGGACTTTTTGAAAAGTGACTTCTCAAGAAGTCTTCAATATAAACTTCTTTGAAATGGACTTTTTGTAGGAGTTACTTTTTTAAAAGTCCATTTTGTTGTTTACACCAAACATCTTTTTATATTGAAAATGGACTTTTATAGTCAAAAGTTCATTACAAAAGTGCTTCCAAACATACACTTATTAATTTGCAGACATTTCCAACGCTTGCGATAAATTTATTAAAATACACAATTTTCAGCTATTACTTGGTACATATCGAATATTTATAGAATAAATATATTGAGTTATACGGCTAACAACGATATCAACTGATTAAAAAAATGATAATTATGTTGATAAAAATTTGAAAATTGATTATGCTCGTCCGTCCGTCCCCACTAAAATTACAGCAGGAAAACAGCAGAGAATGCACATACCTATGGCTGTACAGAGCGACAAAGGAAAGAAAGTAAAAAGACTTTTCTGGTGATCGATTCAACGACTCTACCTTTTACTCCACAGCCCACCGGAGGTTCATCACTTCCATTCAGCCGAGGGTATGAATGAATCTCTTATTAATCTCAACATACTAAATCAAGTTTGTATTAACCTTTTTTGAAATTTTGTGTTTCTTTCACTTAGTCCGTACGTTCATCTCGATTCGTGGGTTATGATGATTCGTGATCTGCTTGTGTGTTTATGTGGGCTTATGGGATATTCTTCTTTGTACTGATGCAGATGGGTTGTGTTTTTTTTTTGGTTTGATAGGAAGTGTAAATAAAAGATCTCATCTTTTCATGGTCTGAAAAAGGACTTCACTTTGTTTATGTGTTAGATGCCAATAATTTGTAAAGGAACTTTCTTTTTAACTTCTTCGACATTATCGGACGATAAATCGTGCAAGAAAACAAAGCTTAAAGCAAAAGTATTAATTTTTAAGAGATCACTTGCATTCTACTTGTCAAGTTTGCTTCAAGGCAACAAGAATGTGAAGTGTTAACAATGAAATTTAGAATGGCGATGATGAGCTCGGGCTCGATTATGCGTAAACTGTATCTTTTTCACTACTCTAGGATAAATACAATTATGATGTGGGATCATTGCAGCATGTCAGAAATCTGTGTGATTTGGAGATAGGCCTTATTGTTGTATTTATCTCCTATTGTAGTTCATGGTGTGCCAAACTCATGTATGAATACTTGTTTGCAGATTCACTTACTATACTGTTGGTTGCCTTTGTAGCTGCTCTAGCTCGAAGAAGTGAAGAATGAGTACAAACTTATTTCCGGTTCAAGAGCCTGATTGAAATTTGAAATATCACCATTTGAGGAGTCGAAGCATTGTGGTGAGGCTTTGAATCAGTGTGTACTGTTAGACAGTAATCTGCTGAAAGCATTTGCTCTTGTAGGTGTAAACTTATTTTTTCATCAACATCAACATACCCAGTATATTCCCAAAAGATGAAAGGAGAAAGACCAGCATTGGAACATACAATGGGGAAATTTCCAATGGTCGAGCAAAAAACCTCTGAAAAAATCAGTTATAATCCCGTAGATATTAGGAACGAGAACTCGAGCTCTATAAACCCAAGATTTCCTCAGGGTCCCTCCAATTCTTCAGCGACTATGAATTTCCTACCATCCGATCAGAATATTGCAGTTGGAGCACGACCTGTTCTCAACTATTCCATCCAAACCGGTGAAGAGTTTGCTCTCGAATTTATGTGGGAAAGGGTGAACCCCAGGCAGCATTGTGTTCCAAGTTCTTCCTCTGTCGAGGCTAATAATCGTGAAAATACAATTTTGGGCGTGGATGGTGCATCTCGTGCTGGTCCCAATAGACTCATTCCCGATGCCTCATCTTTTCCTCGTGTCGAAAAGGGTAACATTAAAAACCAAGTGACCAATGTTTCCTTAACCTCGTCAAAAAAACCGAGGAGTCTCGGGCTTCGTACTCGTTCTTCTATGGGCTCATTTGGTGGGACCTTGAAGTTTCTCTGCAGTTTCGGTGGCAAAATCTTGCCTCGTCCGAGCGATCGGAAACTTAGATACGTCGGGGGCGAAACGCGCATTCTCCGCATCGGAAAGAATATCTCGTGGGACGAGCTTAAGCAGAAAACTTTGGCTATGTACAATGAGCCTCATTCGATAAGGTATCAGCTACCAGGTGAGGATCTTGATGCTCTGGTCTCGGTTTCTTGTGATGAAGACCTGCAGAATCTGATGGAGGAGTGTAATTTGCTCGATGACGGAGGAGGATCTCAAAAGCTCAGGGTTTTTCTCATCTCAAACAATGATTCAGGTGATTCCCAGCTTGGTGTGGAGAGAATCGAGGGTGATTCTGATGTGCAGTATGTTGTGGCAGTGAACGGTGTGGATTTCAGCTCAAGAAGAAACTCGATTGTAACTGAAAGCCATCTAGGGAAGAATTTGGACGAGTTGACGGGTCAAGTTGCTTCTCGGGTAGAGCCACCAAGCCTATCACATGCTTTTGAGTCCAAATCACTCAGTCGTGAACAGCCCGAACGGCCTTTGTCAGGTGCTATCCGGCGAACTGGCATCTTACCGACTGCAGAAAACTTTGTCCCAAATTATACCTTTGAGAAAGTGGTTCCTGAGGAGGCTTCTCTTGTGGGACAGGCTAACAGAAACTTGGGTTCTTCTAAAGCAGCAGGAGTATCAGGGTTGGAGGCAAAAATCAACAATACAACTGTGGTGCAGAAAAAGAACGAATCTGAAAAAAGCAATTCTCCAGATATTGATATTCCTCAGATTGATTCTGCGAAAACGCAATCTCTTACTGAAGGGAACATTATCTCTTCACTTCCTCACACTGCTTCATCTTTAAATACCACAAAATCAGAGGAAAAGGGTTGTGAAGATGTGAGGGATCACATGCCTCCGATTAACGTTCAGGATGAAAACGTGAATAAGCTTGACGGCTGTGAGATTTCTCATGCACCAACTCGTGCTGAACCAGACGTCCTCCCTCGTCGGTTTTTCCATTCAGAAAGAATACCAAGGGAGCAGCTGGGGCTTAATCGTTGGTCGAAATCTGATGAGTCTGTTGGTCCACAGTTCATAATCTGTCACTCCCAGTCAGACATTTCGCAACAAATCACGGGTTCAGTCCATAATTTGGCCGAACGGGATGAAAAAAAGAATATCCAAGATGATACTGATGGAGACAAAAAAGAGCCAACTCACAGGGCCGAGCAGAAAGCTTCAGTGGTTTCTGAAAAGAATATCCAAGATGAACCTGCTAATCTGAACAAAATGAATCAAAACGTTGAAAATGGTCCTTCGGAAGCTGTTTCTCAAAGTAAACCGAGTTTGAGTGCTGGCGTCTCGGAGCATGGGGATATCCTTATTGATATCAATGACCGTTTTCCTCAAGATTTCTTATCTGATATATTTTCCAAGGCTACAACATTAGGGAGTGATGCTGGTTTTGTACAGCTGTATGGAGATGCAGCCGGTTTGAGCGTGAATATGGTCAATCATGAACCTAAACGGTGGTCATATTTCCAAAATCTAGCACGAGACACCTCAGGGAAAGATTTTTCTCTTATGGATCAAGATCATCCTACCTTCTCATCTTCACAGCCGAAACTTGGAGATGATGATGAATCCATTGATTATGGTTACACCCCTTTTGAGGCTGGTGCAGCTCCAGCTGATCAAAGGCAATTATCCGAACCTTTGAGGCCCGACACCATGAATTTGCCTTCAGATTATACTGTTACTCAGACTACTGGTGCTCAAACTCAAGCTGCTGGACCTGATCATCAGGTACTATTTCTTTGTTAGTAATTTTTTTAGGCTTTGATTTATTTTTTTTTCTTGGCATTATTTAATCTATTTTCCCAAACTTCAGGATGAAAACCAAGCAATTCAGCAAGCAGGCTTCCCGCTTCTTGACTACACCCTTGGACATTTTGATCCCAGTTCTCTGCAGGTAACTAATTAGTGTAAGGATTTGAGTTGATGAAAGGATTATAAAAGCAATATAAAGTCTCGTCATCTGTTTCTTTTGTTCTGTTCTCCAGATTATAAAAAACAGTGATCTCGAAGAATTGAGAGAACTGGGTGCTGGAACATACGGCACCGTTTATCATGGTAAATGGAGGGGAAGTGATGTTGCTATCAAGAGAATCAAGAAGAGCTGTTTCGTCGGCCGCTCGTCCGAGCAGGAGAGACTTGTAAGTGTCTTCAAATCAAAATCATATGATTTATTTTCATTTTGTGCAGATAAACTTAATCCAATCACCTCATGTAAAATACTAAAATATATTTTGCAGACAGCTGAGTTCTGGCATGAAGCTGAGATTCTATCAAAGCTTCACCATCCAAATGTGGTGGCTTTTTATGGTGTAGTGCAAGATGGGCCCGGCGGGACCCTTGCGACTGTCACAGAGTTTATGGTCAATGGGTCCCTTAGACATGTTTTGATTTCCAAGGATAGGTACAGTTGAGAGTTAGATGTAGAATCTTTTCATTGCCTC